AATTTACCCTCATAATGTGGGATTTTGTGTAAAACCATGATACCATTTGCTTGAAAATAGTTTTATATATAACCAGGTCTCGAGTTTGAGCACTATGAAAATATCTTGATAAGGAGCGATTTCTCCTTTATGAACCTTACACGACATTAATATGTAATTTGGTAAATGAATTCATATTTATCCAAGGGAAAATAATGATTAAATAAATACCACAACCATGAGAATGGACAGAATTACTTAAATCAAGGAAGACTACAAAAATGAAACTATTTGAAAATTTATTATTGTCTATTAATATATGAAAATATGCAGAAAACATGAAGTTGAATTTTTTTGATAATCCAGAAATCCCTTGGACAGGTGGATGGATTCAAACCTCAACTCTTCTCCACTTACATATCAAGTTTTTGTCTATGGAAGGATTCAAATCTCATGACGTGCATCTAATCCACACATCACACTGCAAGTCGGCACTCTTATCACTAGATCAAAACCCGGGTGTAAAACATAAAAGTTGAAAATGGAAGCATTCTTATTTACAATCTGGTTAATGTGGCACAATACAGTACAATTTACTTTCAGTGAAACTGCTCACTTCCTGATACAACAAGACTTTAGGGCTTTTGAGCTCTTGCTTTCTGTGTTGATCTTAACATTTAAAACTATTTTTGAGATGGCAAAAATAGACCGAATAACCGATCCAGTTCCTTGTACTTCCACTAAGGGCCATTTTACAGTAGGAAGAGCTCTTGTCTACCTCGTCGAGCTAAGGCAACATCAAACAGATCATTATAATCCCTTTGACTGATGGGCTCTATTGAGGATAGCTGGATTCTAACTTCTTAAGTATGAAACTAACCACGCTCCAATCAAAGCCGCGGTACTGAAGCCAACGAATAATCCTTGCTTTACGTTTTTCTCTAGGCACGCCTTGCCCTTTAAGCCACTGTTTAGATGCCTGGACAAACAATTGATCCAGAGAAGGTTTTGATATAGCATGTCCTGATTCTGTTGATTCTTGCTCTTCACCAGCTTCGTTGTTCTTGAAGACCATTTTTATGGCATTGTTTGCATCCACCTCACTTACACCCTTCTTGATCAAGGCCTAAACAAAACAATGACAAGGCCATTCAATGGGCATAAACCCGGGGAAAAGGAAAATATCTGATTATCCAGGGGTATTTCAACGAGTGATTTAGCAACTACTACACATCACTAGCCTGACGAAAACCAAGTTTGGAAGGGGAAAAAAAAGAGAAATTGTAGGTGAGGATCATGTTATTAACCATACAAACAATTGACTCTACACAAAAGAAAAAAAAGTAGGCTCAAAATCTCAATTAGTGAAGTAGTTCACAAAGAGGAAAATTTACTTGCTTGATTCGTCGTGGACCCCAACTTGAGGAAGACCATCTGGACCGAGAAAACATTTCAGCATACAGACCGTCATTGATTAAACCCCTAGAGCAACACACAGAACAGATCCAGATGAGGCTAATTATGATGAAATTAAGAAGGATCAGTGAAATACGAACTCATAAATGACACGTAAAACCCATCACACTATGTTCTTCAATTTACCCTTTAGCAAGTTTAAGTGTAGCACTTCACTCTAGATACCAATAGAAAAATGTAGGTGAACAAGTGACAAATGAGTACCAATAGCCAAAATGTAACAGAGACTTGAAATAACATTTCTGTATTATCGAAGACATGGTTGACAACTATGATGGGAACATCAAGATTCCAGTTTGATTTACCTGGTATGGAAATCTGTTATTACAGCATTAACAACATTGACTGTAAACTTTCTTCCCAGGAGCTTCTTCTTCAGTTCTACAGCCGTAAGTGCTCTGCACAGTAAAAAAGCATGCATCAAAAAGTGGTTCTCTTTGCATCAGTCTAAGGGCCTCTATTCTTAGCTTCAATGGTTGGAAAGATAATTCATGTGCATCAACAAAGGTCAAACAGTTTCATCGTTCACACATCTTTCTCTAAGTGAAATCAATGCTCACACAACTCTATGCGGTATGCCCATATTTAATTAAGGAGATGAATGTTTTATCCATCTAGTATAAAACTCAGAGAGTCAGAGTCATCAACACTCAGGTTGCAAGTAAGATCAGTACAGTGAGCTAATAATAGTTGACAGCAAATAATAACGACCAGATAGAGAGAGACGAGACATTTAATATTCTGACCTTGAAGCAAGTAATCGAACTGCGATTGTTTCAGCATCTTGCCTAGCTTTATCAGTTTCAACTATACCATGTTCAAGTACAAAATCTTCATCAACTTCATCTTCCTTCCCTGAAATTCCATATTCAGCCTCTTATTTGAATTTGAGTTTCCACTACAGGTAGAAACAACAGAGAGATGTGAATGAATTCAACCATACCCCATTCAACCTCATCATCTAGGCTGGTGATAAGCTTTTGATTATGATTTTGAGACTTGGAATGAAAAGGTATATCTCCATACTTCAACCCTCCACCGACAGAAAATTCAGTTTCCTGAACATTCCGGTTTAAGAAGCTATGTTTTTCTCTGTCCAAAGAGTGCTTCTTTGGCAAAGCAGATTCTGACTCTTGGCAATCATTAGATCTCTTGGGAATGTGCCTGACTGGAAAAGCGCTATAATCTCTGCCGCGGGAGCAGCTTATGGCACTGAACTTCTGCACCCTAATAATTATATATTCATATCATACTAAAACAAACCATTTTTTTGGACCAACATACATACAAAGCCAACCATAGTTATACGCCCATTTCAATAAATTGTGTATGAGCTGCACTATATTTCATGGCCATATTTGCCCTAAATATCAAAGATTTGCTTAGCCAAACCATGAGACGCAAGTACCAATTTCAAGAATTTTGAGAACAAACTGCTTAAAACATTTCTATGTGCAGGTTTGCAAAATAAATTTCAAATTTGCTTAACAAATCCACGTAATACAAGTACTCATTTCGAGAAGTTGAAGAATGAACTGCCCTAATCTTTTCTATGGTCAAATTTGCTCTAAAGATCAAATCTTAGCTTAACAGATTCATGTAACACAAGTAACCATTTCAAGAATTTTGAGAATAAACAGTGGTACTCTTTTAGTTAAATGGTCATGTTTACCCTAAAAATCAAACCTTTTTTTAACAAATTCACATAACACAAGAACTTAATCAAACCTTTTCTTCACAAATCCATTCACACAAGTACCCATTTCAAGAATTTGGAGAATGAACTGCTATAATCTCTTCCTATTGTCATGTTTGTCCTAAAGATCAAACCTTTTCTCTAGAAACCCCACGTAACACAAGTACCCATTTCGATAATTTGGACAATGAACTGTAATAATCTTTTCGATGGTCACATTTGGCCTACAAAAATCAAACCTTTTCTTCACTAAATCCACTCACACAAGTACCCATTTCAAGAATTTGGAGAAGGAACTGCAGTAATCTCTTCCTATGGTCATATTTGTCCTAAAGATCAAACCTTTTCTCTAATAAAACCCACATAACACAAGTACACATTTTGATAATTTGGACAATAAACTGCTGTTATCTTTTCTATAGTCATTTTTGCCACAAAAAATTAAACCTTTTCTTCACTAAATCCACTCACGCAAGCACCCATTTCAAGAATTTGGAGAATGAACTGCCGTAATCTCTTCCAATGGTCATATTTTTCCTATAGATCCAACCTTTGCTTAAAAACCCAACATAACACAAGTACCCATTTTCGATAATTCGGACAATAAACAGCTGTTATCTTTTCTGTGGTCATTTTTGCCATAAAAACTAAACCTTTTCTTCACTAAATCCACTCACACAAGTACCCATTTCAAGAATTTGGAGAATGAACTGCGGTAATCTCTTCCTATGGTCATACTTGTCGTAAAGATCAAACATTTGCTTAAAAACCCAACATAACACAACTACCCATTTTCAACAATTTGGACAATAAACTGCTGTTATCTTTTCTATAGTCATTTTTGCCATAAAAATTAAATCTTTGCTTAAGCAACCCACTTTACAGAATCACAGAAGCACTTGAAAGAAATGTCAGGTTATAAAAATACTATTCTATAACAACAAGAAATGCAGTAATATGTGTGAACATGACAGAAGAACTCTAGTAAACACAGTTGCAGCTGCTAGTATAAAGAATTTAATATAAATCCTCAAGTGAGGGAAATTGCTAACCAGGGGATGATAATTGCTCTAGAATGAAGCTGAATTGAAGCTTTAACTATGAAACAAAGTGCCATGTTCTGTTTCCCAGAGCTAGGGCTTGGTACATTTTTATTTGGCAAAAGTGCCAAAAATGACTCTTGAACTATATTATGCATTTACTTTGCTTTTTTTGCACAAATATATGTCTCAAAGAGCATGTGACTAATTTCTGGCACATGAAAAAATTAATAGACTAACTGCTAACACATCATAAAATTTAAATCTTCAATTTATATTTCGCTGAAATGTTAGAAAAAGAGACCCTGGAAATTTCTAATATTTGCTAATATATTGCTCGATTGTAAGTATAATAGTTTGACGTTTATAATAATTACTTATGCAATTTTCGATCGTTATATATTATTTTTTAATTATAAAAATAATTTGTTCCAAAACAATTGTCTAAATGGTTTTAAGTTGCAACAAAAATAAAAATAAAACTATTTACTAAATAGTACTGTCAAAAAGAGATATCTCCCAAAAAAAAGCCATTACTATTCGTCAATTACATTTTTTGTGATTAAATATTACTCATCTCTGTGTCACACAATTAAAATTTCGAGATTTAAATTTTAACCGTGAACAAGAACATAAATTATTTTTTTTAAAAAAGTTATATATTTAAATCTACATAAAAATAGAGTAATAATTAATAAATTAATTGCTTTGATGTAGTCTCTTGTTCAAATGGAGTATAAAGATGTTGTTTAAGAGTATCACAGAGAGAATGTTCATTATATCCACACAAAAGCCTTTGATGTTTCATTCCAAATATCCAAACAAAGAACAACTTTTTACATATATTTTAAAGTTTTATCAGTTTGTATTAATAAATACATGGCAATATATGTCACTTCAAATGAAGTTTGAGGATATATTAGTGGTTGAAGTCCTCAATGACATCAACAACCATCTCAACTTTCTCAGTAATGAGGGGCATGCTCCAAAATGCATTAAGTGGCTGTACAAGAACTACCAAATTAGTTGATCCAAATGATGTGTAGTATATAAATATCAAACTTCTCTCAGGGCAAAAACATGAATTTTCCGCGTGGTGTTGATCTGCTTCTTCTCAATTCTGGAGCCAATGAGTTGCTCACTTCCTTTGAATTTCGAGCAATTCTATTGACATTCGATGGTTTATCTTCTGGTTTCCGGAATTCAGGATTGAATGAATTGTTTACCTCAGCATTTCGAAGCATGTTGTTTCCACTTGATGGTCTGTCTTCATATTTACCAGCAAGAAATGCTTCAACTGTCTGTGATATTTCTCTGTATGAAATCAATTAGTTAATACAAACAATAGTTGTTATATAGTATGTTGATTCTCAAAGAAGTAGGCCTTACCGTTCAACGTTTTGGGAGTTCCTTGAGAAGCTTCTTGGAAGATGTCCATTACCAAACCTTATGGTTCCACTTATATTGGATCCAACAAATCCATTCTCATTTTCAGACTCAGAAACATCGCTTCTCTGAGCTTCGTCCATCATTCCACCATGACATCCATCAGAAAGTAAGGTCACTGAAACATCTGATTTAATCTGTATTTTAGTTGATAACTGATGCTTGGATTTGATCTTGTTCTCATTTTTACTTTTCCTGATTGCACCTTGTCTTACATTAAGCGCTTGCTTAAACTGCTCCTCGTCGTGTTCTGGAATTTTCCTGTTGCTCATCTTCTGGAGGCTATATAGAACATCAGAGATATTTTCCTGCCTGGATTGCTCTCTTGAACTCTGATATCCTCTCGTTCTATCCGAAGAGACAATAGCCGGCATATTGGTACTAGGCTTATTGATGGTGACAGGAGCTCTACCAGGGAAAGGTAGTTTCATTACGGGTTGATTTTCAAATGTTTCAGGCTTGTTTCTGCTTCTGACATGAACACCTCTATCTGTTGATATTGATCTTCTAACTGGTGGTGATGGTGATCTCCTCATGGAGGAGGCTGCTGATTTTTCCTCTGTGAGCAAGGGCATTTTTGGGATGAAATCCTTGTCCGTGAACTTCGAGGGAAACTGAGACCTCCTTTGTTTACCTGATGAACAGCTTCTTACCTATCTCACCACAACAGAAGTAAATAACAGCTGCAAGTATGATATGTGAATGGCATGTTTTACTTGGATTTCCAACTCATTTACCTCTCTAATGTCATCTAGAGGACGCTGACTAGTTTCCGTTTTCAAGTTACTATTACCAATGTGTCTCATTGTTCGTAGAGGTGATGCTTGTCCTCGAACATTTACACCACTTTTTAGGAGTTCAAGTTCAGCTTCCTTCTTCTCCAGCACTTGCTTAAGGTTTGAGATCTAAATCAACCAGAAACAATACAAAGACGTCAATTACAGGTACAAGAAATTGTTTGATATTTTCAACCAGTGATTAAGAAGTTAAGACCTCATCTTTCATGTCTCGAATTTCACCAGTTTCTTTGTTAGATCGAGCTGCGCCAAGATCTATGGAAGCAACCCTCTCAGCAAATTTGAGGGTGCTAACTGTTTCTCCAAATGCATCTGCCTCTGGATTTATGTGCACGAACATCAACGTCTTTGCCTGACCACCTGTTGTAAGGGAGTACAGAAGGTAAAAATGTTACTTCTCAGGATTTTCGGTCTTTTTCAGCAGGATCATTCATGGATATAACAAGCCTAGCTAGTTCGACATAGGAATACTATCATTATTGCAGGTGAAAATGATTGCATTAACAAATTAAACTCGAAAAAGATGACCAAAAAGTGATCATTATCTACCTAATGAGTCTTGTAATACTTGAGTAAGCTTGCTATTTCTGTAAGGAATATGTGAGCTCTTTTGTGCAAGAGCAGAGATAACATCTCCTAATGCTGATAAAGATTTGTTTATATGTTGTGCCTCCTTCAGTCTCTCGCCAACAGCTTCAGACTTATCTACTCTCTCACTTCCAGCTAAATCCACAAGGTGAAGGCAGCCCTTTAATGTTGATCCAGATACCAACTCTCTTCCTCGAACATGAACTGTCAGAATACTGCAAAAGTAGGAAGAAAATTAAAGAAGAATAACATCATGCAACAGTTCATAATGTTTATCTGCTTCTGTAACAGGTACCTGTGAGACCTGCTGCTCCTCTCATTTAAAGCAGTAGCACCGACAGCACGGTTCTTCTGCCCAATTCTCATCAAATCAAGAACATCTTGAGTGCATGTAACTGGAATCAGACTAGCATCAGGTACATTGAGGCCATTCAGTTGGGAGTTATTTCGTATTTCCAATGTATGAAATGTCAAGGTTAGACAACTAAATCCGAATTGTTTACTGTGTAAGTGTTGCAGTTCAGGTGAGCATGTTACTATTTAATTCATCATATATCTATGTGTAAAGGATATCGCTTGTTAGCTCCGTCAATGACTAAGAGATCTCTCACTTGCTCATTATATATCTCGATCATTTGGACTCCAACTTCATACTCTATCATGTCATGTCTTGCCTTTGTAGTGCTGAATAAATCACGCAAAGCACGATAATTTACACCCCATGTCTCCTCTGTGGTCAAGTCTGGACCACTCTGGAAGCATGAAATATATGCATTTGTAAGATATCAAAATGCAGCATACTGTTATCAATACTTGAAGTAACACAATATTCAATCCCATAAAACTTTATATCACTTAAAATTACCATGGTGTATGTCTTCCCTGAGCCAGTCTGTCCGTAAGCAAAGATACAAACATTAAAACCATCAAGGACAGTCCTAACCAACGGCTGAGTGTCCACGTATATTTGTTCTGAAAATACAAAAAGAATGATATTGATTAAGAGAAAACTCCACAAACACAATCTTGTGATAGAAAAGAATGAAATGTGCTACTTATTATAAATAGAAAAAGAGAGAAGGTGCTAGAGCAAGGCAAAGTGAGAAAGAAGACATACGTTGAGTTACTTTAGTTCCAAAGACCTTGTTGAAAGTGAAAATCTTCCTAGCATCTTTACCCTGCTTACGAGGATTGACAATCATGATATCTCCATTTTCTCCGATATAATCTACTGTGGACTGCATATCAGGTGGTCCTGATAGGAAGGGCCTAACTCTACAATATACTCTTATTGTCCCTGGTGAGAAGTAAAAACTTAATTTCCATGTCACAAACATTTTATATGAGAATTGAAGAAACTACCTTTTAGGTCCTGGACTTGATTGTAAAGCAATCGATTTTCTTCCAATACTTTGTGATAAGAAGACGAGGCCATCTCGAGTCCCTTAATATGGTGCACTGAGGAAAATCACTTTCAGATTCAAATACAGCAAAAAGATTATAGAAGTTGATAGATGGAACAGAAGTTCCATTCATTTTTGTACAAATAAGGACATTAACATAGTACTAACCAAGCCTTGTAAATTCTTCTTCCCATCCTGACTTATACTTTTGAACATCTAGCTTGGTTTCTCTGCAAAAGATTTTTAGCTCCTGAACGATAAATTAACGAGACAAGAGTCAGTCGTTTCCTCGTTAGTCTACATTATTTATTTGTTTTCCATACTATTTTCTACCAACAAATTGTTATCCATAATTCAGTCAACTTGCTGTAGTCAAATTATCATACCTCTAACTCCTTTTGTTGAACATCAACTATTTCTTCATTGGCAGCAGTGAAACCATTATTACGCCAGCTGCTTTCACGTTTCCCACCACAAATGCATTCACTGGAGACCAAACTAGTTCTGTGGCGCAAATAGTTTGATATGGCTTCGAGAACTTCTGATCTTGATAAAGGACTGCACTCATCTGCCAATATTTTCTTCAGAAAAAGTCTGAGCTGCAGTTGTCAAAGTAACTATCAATCTACCACATCAGGTGACAACGCTAATTGGCATTAACAGTGGTACCACACAAGAAAATGTCTACGATAAAGTTGCTGGTGTTACCTGATTGCTCTGAGAAACCAGCAACCCCGAGAAGTTCTTGACTACTTTCCTCAGTACAGCATCAATTACCTGCAAATGTTCATCCTTAGTCCACAATAAGGAATGACACTTGAAATTTGTCTAACATGAGATGCCTGAAAACTAGTAGACACCTACAATTGTGAGTGAAGAAAGTGAAGAATAAGTAGCTTTGATATCAGTGTCAAACTTTTTAAGTAGAAAGGCGAAAAGTTGTCAGAGCAAGTTAAGCCACTCTGGAGGAATGGTTATGATGTGTTAAGAAGATATGGTGATAGAGACAGATTGCAACATACACCTGGACTTCTTCATCTACATTCTGAATATATGGTAATCGGCGAAGTTCTTTATACCAACTACTTGATTGCTGATTGATTTTACAGAAGTTGTATCGATCTAACAAGCTGCGAATTCTATTGGCAGGTTACGATGTAATAAGAACTTCCTGTTTTTAGATAAACTACACATAGTCTTACCTACCATTGAATTCAAAGGGAAGTCCTCAACTCCATTCCTCTCCATAAGATAAGCCTGTAGAAGCCCGAGACCAAAGCGATCAAAGAGGAAGGTCAGTATATTAGCAGCATTTGATTCTTCAAGCGAGACTTCGCTAGATAAATGGAGAAATTCCAACAGCTGGTCGAATTGTGATGACTCGGAGTCATCCACCGACTCATCTGCACTGTCACTACCACCAAATGAGGACGGTGATCCTTTAGGACAGGACGTGATCCTGACAGTTCCACCATACTTCCAAACTCCAATTCCTCCGGCTTGTTTCCATTCATAATATCCTTTTAGGCACAAAATGCAGTCTACAACTTTGTTTGATGAACCACCCTACAAGTTCAAAACCTTTGCTCAATACAATGTAGCTTGGACAAACAATGTGAAACATACATACATATAATCCGCGCCAATGTGAACAAACTGATTAGTCTAACCTTTTCAAGATCAGATGCTTCGAATGTTAAAAGCTGCATTTTGCCAACAGCTACAAGAAAATTCCTCATGTTCTCGAAGTATTGAATAGCAGATTGAGCTGCACATTCTGAGGACATATCAACCACTGAATTCACCACCACCTAATCTCAGGTATCAAAACATAGTTAGTTGCTTAAATGTTCAAGAATCCCTTCTTTTTAAGGACATAAACTATGTTTAAAGTTACTAATACCACATTTTATTGTTTATGTTTTGTGCATTTGACAGTAAGGGATATTGTAAAAAAGAATTACAACGTCAGTGTATATAACTTAAAATCTTTATGGTAACTAACTGAAGTTATGTTTTAGGTGATTTATTTTATACTAGCAATATGTAGAAGTTCAACTCTACTATAAGTACCTTGTGAACAGCACCAGGATTGACTTTGTTGAGGACATTGCAAAGAATGAGGCCATTGCGAAGAGCACAACGAAATTCTTCTTCACTTGGTTCTTTTGGGAGCACCTCCGATGCACCGGAGTCCATCTGCCTCAGCCATTCCGCCGCCTGGTACCTCCTTGCAGCTGCAAGTAATTAATATCTAACTTTAGTTAGAAATTTTAGAAGTAAATTAATAGTGTCATGTATGGCTTAATTTCCCCATGCATGGTATTTTCCCTAAAAACTTATATTAAGAGTATTATTAGTGATTCGGTTATCATATTATCTGTTATTGCTATTGCTACTTCTTTGTTATGTTTAACATGGCTTCTGGGAACCGTCTTTACTTTCACAAGGTAGGGGCAAAAGTTGTATACACACCACCCTCCTCAGACTCCACACTCCACTCCCACATTGTTGTTGTATTAGTAATATTATTGTTCTTATACCTCCATTCCATTTCAGGGGAATGAACATATATATTCATATATTGGTTATATTTTATGTGACTCGAATTCCTAACCTATATATTGGAGGTGCTTAAAAAATTATTAATCTTTCTTTAACAAAGCACTATCTGGGCTACTGAGGCTCCTGCAAATGGGCTCATAGACAGGCAATAATGTATAAGACATAGCCCTACTTAAAGGCCAAATCATTTTTTTTCCTTACAATTTGCTTTCATGTACTTTTTTTCCTACCTAAAAATAGAGGCTCCTGAAATAGACCAGCCTTGAGGTCTAGTAAAAGACAGTGAGTCAAGATTTGAGATGAGATTTAAAAAAAAACATTAATAAGGTACAATTATTAAGGCATGAGAAACATATTCGATAGTACAAGAGAAGGATCTAGCCTTAAAGTAATGATTTCACCTGAACTCAATAGAGCTTTAGCTTTTGTCAGACTTTAAATTCTAGATCTGCCCCTGATTACTGCACTTGAGTATGAGTGCATTTTGGCCCACATGTACATAAAAGTAGAGATATTTTTTTTGGATCCAATCTTTATCTCAAGTCGTGTAGCATAAGGTTGGTAGTGCACCTTGGTGTAATTAATGATTATCAACTTCTTTTAAGCATCATTCAAGGAAAATACAATTAATTATCCTAATTAGTTATCAATTTTTGTTAATTTAACTTTGTTTAGGCAAAAGTATAGTAATGGGGGTGGACCATATTGGCTACTAGAAACTTTTTTTAGTCTAAAGACTAGTGAACCAAATAACACAAAAGTTCACAACAACTCCACAACATCATGATGTGAGGGACATTCTTTTATTTTTTTAATTCTTTTATTTCATCCTTTTCATCTTAAATTTAAATTCTTGGTGCAACAACACCACTAGTACCACCCTTAGAATCATCTTAGTTTATTTTGTTCGTATGTATAATCGTGGTGCCCTCGTCAATTTATACATTCAACTTGTTATTTTTCACAACTGTCTAATCAGCGAAGCTAAGTTGTGGTTAGGATATTCATTCAACTGAATCTCCCTTGCTAGAAAACTATAATGCACCATAATAAATGATATTATTTTGTTATATACAAATGATTAAATTCTCTTGACGTAAGGGAATATTCTAATATCAGTAAAAGATTATTACAAAATTTAATTATGATCAAGGTTCAAATTTAAGTATGACATTTTAGGACTAGTAACTTTTCTAGCTTCGCCACTAAGGTCATGACCCTATGTAATTTGTTTTCATTTGTCTATAATGGATAGAATTATCTGATATCTACGCACTATGCACCGAGAGTAACGTGTCCAGACACTATTGTTATAAAAAAATAATATTAACGTACCTGCTTCTTCAGCTTTTCTTTGAGCTAAATCACGATCGTTGAACATCTCCTCAGTGTAAGAAACTTCATTACTACTTGAATTATAACCCAAATTTCCCTTCAATCCTCTCAAATTCTTCACTGGACTGTTGAACAATGAATTGCTCTGATTTTGATTACTCTCTTGTGGCATCTTCAATCTCCTCAATAAACTTTAAACAAAACACGAAATTTAGGCCTCAACAATAAATAGCGGAGCCAGAATTCTCACTAAGTGGCTCAAAATATGAAAAAATAAATATATAAAAAAGTCAAATGGCATTCAACATCTAACAAATAATTTTAATTGCGTATAAACAGCTTAAGCAATTGGCATTAAAAGTTCATGCAAATTAGCAAGTACATGAATCATAAATCACATTTATTACTATGAAATGATTACGAATGAAACAGTTCACAAAGCACATTATTATTTACTAGTTAAGAAACTGAGAATTAATACAATCCAAAAAATGTGAACAATAGCAAAAATCAAAGGTCCCTCTATCATTTTGAGTTTATAAATTTTGAATTCTAGAAAACCAATATTTAAACCAAAACTACTGAGTTTTGCTGAACCGTAGACGAAGCTCTGGCTCCACAGATATAAAAATGAGAAAAATTAACAAATTAGTTGATTTGTAGATTCAATGTACTACCTGTCAGAGAGTGAAGAATGAGTAATCGCCGGTGCCGGCGCCGGAGAAAGTAAGTGAACTACGACGGATTCTGGAAAGTGAAAGAACAATGAAGAAGAAGATTAATTAAAAGGCATTAAACGGTTGTGGAATTTTGGATCTGAAAAGCTAAACAATATGAATTGATTGATCGAAAAAATTAACGAGCTTCTCGTGTTTGGTAATTAAGGATTCAAAAAAATATAGGGAGAGTTTGTTTTTTTTAATGCAACGGATACAGAGAGACTCTGTTTTTTCAATGGAAAACAAAAGTTATCTTTATTGGACTCTATTTTTAACGGTGAAGTTCACGGAAGTTGAAGAAGCATACAATATTCTTTTTATTTGGTTATCATTTAGTATGTTTTATTCCTACTTTTTAAAGTAGTACTATTATATTATTCATAAGTTCTGCTTCTGAAGAACTAACCTCTATTAAGCATGAAGTTCATTGTTAAATGGCAAAACTAAATTATTTAAACGAAAAGATGTGTAATTTTATGCACATATTATTCAATCTTATCGATAAAATATTAAATTATCTTAACGTTTATAATAACGAAATTCTTTGAAGAGAGAGGTGAAAGAAAAGGAGTTTAACGGCTTTTGACGGCGACGGGAGAAGTTCCACGTGGCGAGCTAAGAGTGCAATTCAGGTGTTGACAGGTGGGTTCCACTGTGGGACCCATTGAACGTTGAACTGGGCGGCAAGATCTAACCCAAACAGATGATATTTTTCACTTTCCATTTAAGCCCTTCGACCCTTCTATTTCTTATATTAATTTTTTTAAGATAAATTATATATTAAAATATTAAAATAAGGTACAACGTTAATATTTAAAATGTTTAATATTATAAGAAGTCGGATGAAAAGAAACTCTCACGTTCAATTTTGTAGTAGGGATGGAATTAAAAAAAAAACTATCAACTATAACTCTTAAAAATCTTATTGCAATTTTATTTCTGGGACTCAAATAAAAAAATACCTATCATTTCACTGATTATTATAACCTTTAAAAGATTAACATAATTTTAGGAGATTATTGAAAATTCATTCGAAATGTGGGTCAAACTTCATTTTTAAAAAAAGGAGAGGACAAAAACTATTTGTGTCGTAGATTCTCTGAACAAATATATTTTATATATAAAAAAAAATTCAGGGTGAGGAATCACATAATTATCTTATATTAAGACGGAATAACACAGACCACAGTGTGCCTAAACACAAGAAAAGACGAAATACTCACTATTTTCAAAAGGATACATAAACAAATTAAATAAAAGAAAATTATAATGGCATATAAATTCTTAACAAAAAATATGACATATAATGAAAGAGGCAAAATTCATGTGTGTGGTATTTACTAGTTGACATAGACTTTTAGACTTATCGGATAACGTATAATGTTATTATTATTACAATATTTGTGTTTGTTTATGAATATTTATTTAACTTATTTTTCACATTTGTTTTATTTGTTATGGTAATTATATGAGTTGAGACTAAATGAAGATATAAGAATTCATATAATATCGATCATAACTTGTTAATTGAGACTAAGGTGTTGTTATTTTCGATTGTTTTTGTTAAATGGTTGGGGGTTTGAACATATTTAGAAAGAAGAAAAAAAAAGAGGGAATATATAAATAGAAGAAAGTCCGTTAGTATAAAAAAAAAAATGAACGTTACGTTGGATACCTTCTTTTTGAATGATTTAAAGAGGCAAAAGTTTATCATGTCACCTTTTACTGTACTCTATTGGACCACTTTAATAATCTTCTTAATTAATTTTGTTATTTTACTTAGTCACACTTGTCTTCTTTGTGCTAATTATTATTTATTACTGGCCTCACTTTTGGTAAAACAAGCAAGAGTGATGGACATGAATAATTAATTTATACTAATGGTTTTCGAAAATAATTATAAAAGGAGCAGAGAACAACATGAATTGTGATGGAATGGTTTGCGATTTCTTTATTTTAAACTAGAGGTGTGTCATGTGTGGGGTTTGAATTCTTAGGAATAAAAATAATACATTGCCCATAAAAATGGGCTTTGCGGAAATTTGATTGGATTTGACAATTATCGAACATCAGATGAAAAAATAAATTAGAAAGAGGAGGCATGCACCATTATGTGTGATCAAAAGATTTCTTGATCATGCTTAATTATGATGAGGCCCGTTGACTGTTAATTGGTTAATTTCTTGGATGATAAGGTTGAATTTCTACATTTGTAGCATGTTATATATATCAAACCTTACAAATTAGATTTATATATACAAGGTGTAGAACATTTCCTTGGTCGATTTCATTCATATATAGAAATTTATAATTAAAAATACTTCCTATCCTACCGTAATATTTCGTAATAAAAGAAAGATGACATGAGACTTGAACTCTTGATCTAATATATATGTAAAGGTTCATGCAGTCACCACTGCACCAAAGTGGAAAGTGCTCTCTTGAACTTTTCTTTGTTCAACTTAACTCCTCGATCGAGCTCCTAACTTTATTTCAAACTCTTTATTGAGCCCTTGATGCATCGGTTCATATATGATAAATCATGGTGAGTTAAGGTAATAAAATGAGATGAAATACACCTAAATCAATAGAAAAAAGTTATTTTGAAAGACACACACTTATCTTTTCATGGTATAGTGATAATATAAGTTGAGCTAAAATGGGAAAAAAATATGACGAATAATGTTTAGTATATCTAAATTGAACTTTTTTAAGACTGACACATTGATAGTGTACGATAGTATGGGGTACAAGAAATTAATTTGCAACAACAAAAAAATAAAGAAAAAAGATAAACTAACTAAATCATTCTTGTTAGCCGACAATGTTCAATGGATAATAATCTTCATTATAATGTTAATTTACCTAGTTGACTAATTTTAAGTTCTTTTGAGGTGAGTCCGCAATTGTGGGGTAATTTGTGGGATTGTGTATACTATATAGTTTTTATTTAGTGCATGAAAGTTGAAGAAGGAATAATTTCTTTCACTTTTGGGCTTTTAGGTGGGGAAAAGATGATCACTCTTTCTTCTTTTTAACCCAACAGGCAATGGGCAATTATGACTATACAACCCCTAACTAAATTTCACTATACTTTTTGACAAAAAAAAAAAAAACAAGAAGAAGATGATTATATATTGGCATGATACTTCCAAATGATTCCTAGGGACCAACCCCCAACTATTTCTAACACTTTCGAGAAGACGTTTATTATCGTCAGTGCAGTGAAATTTATAAATTTTATGTTTTTATATTCATTAAATTGATAAGAAATAATTGTTAGGCTTAAACCAACCTCAAAACTAGCTTAAGAGGTCAAGATTGTCTGAAATTATATAAAGAGACTATTTTTTTCCTTCCACAACAGACATGGACTTAAACACCCCCTCACATGTGTATATTTTGGATATCTACTACATGAACAATATAAAACAAGGCTCAATATCGACTAAATCAAGGTATAAACTCAATCAGACATAACTCAAACCTGAAAGCTATTTTAATAGGTGAAAATTGCTCAAGAGCATATAAAGTGGTTAACTTATAACCAAATGTATGGTCCATGAATATTTTCATAGATGGGCCAAATTTATGGCCCATCAATATTGTCAGTGCCACTTCCATAAGAGCATATGGGCTTTTTGATCAATGGACTAGTAAACCACAGCAGCCTAAATCTTAGTGGGCTAAGGATGACAACATTCTCTATGTGGTGTATTGCTTATCTATTTGTCATTACCATCACACTACCAATTACGTAGCACCATAAAGATTGTAGTACAAAGGTAGGTATTCATCAGAAGTGTCGGATTTGAGCCTTAAAATGAAGTAGGATGTACCTAATATTGAGTATACTTTTTGGCACAAATTCAGACTAGTCGAGCTCACTATAATAGCTACTAATTATGTTGTTAATAGTTGTTATGAAAATATCGCATTATACTTTAAGGATAATGTGATTTTAACCGAATCTCTTTTCATACACAGACATTTCTCCTACATCCAATACAATTTGCTTATGTAAACTTGAATTTGTAAAGAAATGGATCACGAGTGTGTGCGAGGGTTGTTAGAGTCCTAACGGTGGTTATGATGATCTTGAACAATTCTTTCCTTGGGAATTAATTTTTGAAGTTGAGTTAGACATGATTCATTTCTTTATAATATTAACAACAAATATCATTTTATATATAATTATTACATAATTAAATTATAAAATTAAATTGATTTTTTTATTTCAAATATAGAAAAACAAGTCACAATCGAGAAAGTGATGGTGAATTTAAGAGATAGATTATTGCTTAATCCATGGTCACACTAATTCAGATTTGTCGGTTGATACTGTTTTGGATTGAGTAAAAATGACTTTGAAAAAATTGAAAATATAAGGAAAAAAGGACCAATTGTGGAGCCCTCCTCTTTGATTTTTCTAATTATTGCTTAATTAATACCTAACTTAATTATTACAATCTCTAAGTGCCAGCAAATGTGACACACACATCTAGAGCACTATTGTCTAGTTGATTTTTTTTAAAAAAAAAATAAAATCTCTTATTGGTGAGAAAGAAGGAAAAGGAAAAAAAAACAAATAATTTGAGTGAGACATTTTTTCATAGCATTCAACATTTTTGAATTAATTTCTGAGGTCTATTTGGATAGCATTCAAAATAACTTTGTCGAATGAATTAGTGTAAGTGATTATTACATGACATAAAAGCGAAGAAAGTGATAGGATGATTGAGATTTCTCTAATATTGTTGATTAGAGATTTTAGTAACGAGTCATGTAAATAAACGTGGTGTACAGAAAGTCATTGACCTTTTAATTTTCAAAGTAACTTTAAAAAGAAAAAATTGACAATCTCAGTATATAAAATTCTTTGTATTCTTCTTAATACAAAACAAAATTATCAGGATACTGAATTTCAAATATAAGATGATTAATAAAAAGTGTTTCTTCTTAACGAGTCATATGCCATAGTACAATACTAAATTATCGGACTACAGAATTTCAAATATAAGATGATTAATAAAAAGTGCTTCTTCTTAATGAGTCATATGCGATGGTACAAAACTAAATATCGGGCTACTGAATTTCAAATATAAGATGATTAATAATAATAAAAAGAACATGATTTTGCAATTCAATCCTCATGTTTCTGTTGTTTTAATTTTAATTAAACTGAAGGTGTTAAGTAAAGAATTTGTTCTTTCTTTTTATAATAGTCCAAGCATATCCAAAGAGAGTTAGAAAAATAGATATTGAAGTTAACACTTAGATTGTGAGTCCAAAAAAAAAAATTAATTAGAAGAGATTAGAAAGATTAATATGATTTACTTATTAATGACTGTAGAATATACAACTACTCTTCTTTTACCAGATTTTTCTTCACCATGTATAGATAGAAAATTTATAATTTTTCAAATTCTCACTATTTTTGGGTTATTTTTCTATCATTATCATTGTGTTACGTATTGAACTTGTTATAATTTTCTAAGGGGAAAATAAATAAATTAGATTTTATTTTATATTTAGGAGCAAGTCAAATTTTTGAAATATTATTTATATGACCTTTGAGAGTTCACCCGACAATATATTATCCAAATAAAGAATAGATAATTCAACTGGAAAAAGATTTCTCTGATTACGACTCAGAAGGAAAAAAATAGTACTAATAAAAAGAAACCGATTAGCAAAATTTTATAATTTAATAAGGTTTATACACAGAAAGAAAGTCTAAATGTTAAAACAACTTTTCTCTTCTTTGAGAACAAAAAAAAAAAAGAGATTAGGAAATTTATGTATTATTAATCTTCTGAAAGTATCAAAATAATCAGATATTTCCAGTTCTTTTGGAAATTTATACAAATGTTAATTATGTATGAAATAGTTATTCATTTATAAGTTATCCCACATTCTCTTCTACATAAAATGATGCATAGATTTCTCATAATTTATATGAATATTAATTATGTTGATTTTTGAATTGCTAACCAAAAATCGTATTAATTTTATGCATGAATAATTTATCTCTTAACCAGCTAAAAATATGGTATTACTTATCAAGATTATTTTATTTATGACTCCCTCCATTTATTAAAATAATTAAAATGACAAGATAAATTCTCTTTGCTAGCAAACAAACTAATTTCCTTAAACAAACTAAATACATATTTTAATCACAATAATATGTACTTTCTTATTTAATATACATTTCATCAATATTCAGTAATAAATACGCTTTAAATTATATGAATCTTAACCTATTTTTTTAAGGGATAAGGGTCTGAAAAATACCTTAACTTTGGCCGAAATTGTTGTTATGATACCAAACTTTATAGAGGACCTTTTACCCCCCTGAACTATTTAATAGTGTATTTTAAAGGTATATATGTGCCCACGTGGACAACATTACTATTTATAATTATGCATTGTGTTTTTATGTCCACGTGGACAAATATATATGTTTAAAATACAATATTAAATAGTCTGGAGGTAATAGGTCCTCATTAAAGTTTGGTATCGTAACAACAATTTCGGCCAAAGTTAGGATATTTTTCAGACCTTTATCCCTTTGTTTAACTAACATGATTTATGATGAGATAGTTGAAATCTCCTACCCTTAACAAATATGTATTTCCCTTTAATTATATATATTAACGTCAATTGAAATAGGTTTAAGGATACTAATTCCTCCGTTTCTTTGTTTATTCTGATTTTCTTTTAATTAGTCTGTTTAAAAAACATGCATCTTTCTTTCTTTATCGATTCCTTAATTTCGACTTTTTACGTCACATGTTTAAATCCACTAAATTCAGAACTCCTTTTCTTGATATGTCAAAGTGACAAGTAAAAATAAAAATCTATTTTAAAAATAAGTGACAAATAAAAGTGAATGGAGGGAGTAAAACAAATTAATGAAGTATAATTAAAGTAGATAATATATTTTAAGAATAATGCTGAATATGATGTATTAGTAATGCATGCATTAGTAATGCTTGCATTAGTTATGCTTGCATTATTTCTTATACATTGTTTGGTTTGATATATTGGAAATAACAAGCCTTGTATAAAGACTATTAAAAAAATATTTGTTTACAAAAATACCCCCACATTCTTTTACAAAAATAATAATAATTATTATTAATAATAATAATAATAATAAATTATTATTATTATTATTAGAGGGTAGTTTTGTCATTAGTTAATCTAATGCATGCATTAAAACCATTGCATTGCTAATACCTAGAAATTCATGGTATTAACAATACACACCTTAATACACAATAAAGTGTATAACTAATGCAAGCATTAGTTATACATAGGTTGGAAAAGAGTACCAAACAAGGTACTAGTAATACACAATGCTAATGCATGCGTTATTTTTCCTAATACACTCTACCAAACGACCCGTTAATGTGTCTATATGGTAAAAAATAATTGAGTGCCATCATACGGCGCTTGATAAATTTCATGAAGAATATGCAGCGCCACGTCATTTTCTCTCGTTAATCGAGTAATAGTATTTAATTATTATAGCTACTTGATTACTTCTTTTTGTCCTTTTTATTTACAGTATTTTTATTTATATATTTTACTTCTTTAGTATTTTTTTTCAACAGAAAAGAAATAATACTTGCCGAAGTTGAGCGGGATTCTACTATTATTAATTTATTATATACGGAATAAAATTAAAATAATAAATCAAATATTATTAATATCTTAATGAAAACAATTTAAATGACAAGACTAAATTCTCTTAGTAGCAAACAAACTTATTTCCTTAAGAAACTAAACACATAGCTAACCACAATATCAAGTACTCTATTTTTACTACATTTCATTGAATATTCATCAATGTTAAATATGCTTTATAGGTTAGATAAATCTTTACCATATTTGTTTATCAACATGATTTGTGGTGAGATAGTTGAAATTCCTTCATTTTTTTTCAAATTTCTTAGATTCGAGCGGTGTATGAAATAAATTTTGTTGGAATCGTCATCTCTAAAAAAGAATATTTTAATGCGTGAATTCAAATTTATTAGGCTTTAATGCGGGACCAAGTACCAAATGATTAAAAAATAAACTTCTTTCTAAATTAGGGACCTTAGTGCATTTATAAGTTTTTGCAAGGGGTTTTAGGTAGATTCACCAAATTACAATAAGGTGAGACTTTGGTCCAGAGTCGATATCGCCGGAGTTGGGCCCCACATCCCACTCGGTGCAAACGTGTAACCTCCATCGTTTATAATATTCTATACTCGATTTATATAATTTTGAATTAGTAATTAATCTATAATTTAATTTTTTTTAATGTAAATATTTAAATAATTTTTATAAGTATATTAAACCTACAAAAGGGAAAAGGATAAGAAAATAATGAGATTAATCCTAATTTTTTTAATTAGTTTTTATCATCACACAAATTTAGCATTCACTTTATATGAGTGAAATACATCATTTAACGATTTTTTATATGCTGAGAATTGAGATCCTCCTATTAATTCAGATAATAAAGCAGCGACTAATGAGACTATTTATACCTTTTATTGAGTAAGTAATACGAATTTTTCCTTTATATAGGATTATGTTCTCGGCATGCTGAAAATATATCATGTCTTGTTTAATCACGTTTCTCCAATTCATCCTTATTCTATTTTTACCTATCTCCAGACCTATTGCGACCATCTTTTCGCACCTCCTCACTGAGGTATTTGTGCTTCCCCTCTTCACATTCCCGCGTCATTTCAGCTTCGCTTTCCGTATCTTCTCCACCATAGAAGTCACTCTTACTTTGTCCCGTATATGTTCATTTCTAATTTTGTCTCTCCTTTTATAATCACACATCTATCTAAACATCCTCATTTATGTTACATTCGTCTTCGCAAGGCTATTCCTTTACGCCAACACTCAATCTTGTATAATATAGTCGATCTAACTACCCCACAATAGAACTTGACTTTTAACTCTCGATAATACATTCTTATTAAGAATTAATAAATAATTAAGGTACCAAAGAATGTTAATTAAACTCTCAAAAAAAAAAAAAACAGTGGGCGAACCTGTAATATCACCTAAATACCAAGCCCATAGTCTTAAATAGAGAAGAAGTTACCTCTTTCCACTCCTCTCTATAAATTCATGTCCCTGACGAATCCCACAATTTACATACACACACTACTCATAAATACATACAACTGTTCATTGTATCTCTCTTTCTTCTTCTCCAACTGATTTCAAATCTCAAATAAATCTTCCCCAAATTTAGAACGAACAAACAAACTTCAGGTATCATCAATCTTCTTTTATATATATACTTTTATTCTGTAAATCTGCATTCACGTTAGCAATTTATGTTTTTCAGTTGTTACGAGCTGTTTATGTTTATTGTTCAGTTCAATTTTGAATCTAGAAAGTTTGTTTTACGATCTATAATCCGTATTTGTTGATTAATTTGATTGTTTCTAGAGTTTTTTTGATTTTTAGTTTAATTTGATGATTGTGCTATTTCCTGTCTCTCCTAGCTTGGTAACGTCGGGGATGTTTGGTTATGGTGGAGGATCGTGGATGTGTGAGCTGAGGCTAACGGTGCAGTGAGTTATAGTGTGATGTTTTACGAGTTTGAAGTAGGATGCAGCAATGTCATGTTTATCTATTTAGGTGAGAGATAGATTATATAAATTTACTAGGAGATGTACTAGAAGCTGTGGTTGTGCTAACTTGCTATCGTCTAGACTTATTAAGATCTATGAATTATATTACTCAAACGATGTAGCAGATCATGTTCCATGTCGTATATACGAGTAGGTTGCTGCGTCTTGATGCATATCCATTTAGGATTCAGATTGTCACATATTATTTTGTGGGAACTTAAATAGTACGCGAATCTGATGGGTTAGAGGTTGGAGTTGAAGGAAAGAAAGTGATGGTGCAGGGGTTGATGGTTTTTGGAATATAGTTGGGGTGTTTGAGCTAATGTTAGTGAGCTAAACTGTGGCTTGCGACATTATATAATTCTCTATCTGGAGATATGCATTATGTAGTGTTACATTCCCTTGCACTCAAGGGTGTAGCCTAGTGGTCTATGAAGTGGGTAGAGAATCTTGAGGTCCTAGGTTCAAATTTTAGTGGAAACAAAAACTACTAGGTGATTTCTTCGCATTTGCCTAAGCTTTGGTGGGATGAGTTACGGGGTACTTGTATGGGTGGGTAACCGGTGGAATAGTCGAGGTGTGCACAAGCTAGCACATGAGGTTAGAATTGCCTAAAATCATGTAAGGAGACCGACGTTCCACATTCCACTCGATGTGGGAACGCAACAAGTTCCAAATTAGAATATCAACTATGGCATTCCATAATCTTTTCAAATATCCTTATATAAATTCCTAGCCAACCCACAATGATGACCGAGTTGGTTGAGCGAGTGATCTCCCAAATGAGGGTCTTAGGTTCGAACCCCCCTGCATGCTTTCTTGGTGAAACTCATTGCATGGGGCTTCCCTAGTGCAGTTTACCTCTCTTGTGTGATTGGTGAGCTAATTGGAGCAGGGCTGCGAGTTCCCTTGTCAAAAAAAAACTAGCTCCACCATTGCAAACTTGATCATTTTCCTATACACATTGTCTTACTTATGCATACTTAAATATCAAGGAATCATGAATGATGAACTTCAGTGTCTTGATATCCAACTGAGTCAGTCTGACAAGATACCATGGTAGGCCAATATGAGTGGATTCTTTTGCAGAATTAGCTTTCTCAGAGACATAAACTAATTCCTTTTTAATGCTTGGGCCATAACTTTTGAAGGTGTTTGCCTCGGCACCAAGATAAGCCAACAAGCCTAGATGTTTAATGTGTCTGCTAAACTTTTATCTCTTTGATTCTTAGCTTCCCTCTTGTACACATATAGCATGATTCAGACATAAATGTGTCAGAGAAGCATAATTGTCGTTGCAGCTTGTACTGTAGGTATCAAGAAAATATAATTTATAAATAACTAAATGAAGTTTTACATAGAGTAACACTGTTATGATGAGAAAGACGTGATATTCTTACTCGAAATGCATAGGCAACAGGCCAGGACACTGCTCAGGCTTGCCCACCATTTCAATCATGCTTTAAAATTGAAAAAAGAAAAAGAGAAAAATTTCTGATATTAGTATATTACTAACCATCTGGATTCCAATTTGTGATATTGGTATTTATCTTTTATAGAAGCTTGTAGTCCACACTGATTGTTGGTAACTTAAATGCAGAGCTTAAAACCAACAGATGGGTTCAAATGCAGTTGATGATTTGATAGAAGCGTCATCAGGAGTTCATTATTCTGGATTCCATATGGAGCAGCCACGTACTCCAGAAATTGAGCAACCAACAACCTCTATAGATGATAGTGTTCATAGGCAACCCTTCATCATTGGTATGTATTCACAGTGGTATCTCTCTTGCTGTCACCTGAGCATTGTTTTTTTATTAAGGGTCTTCAACATTGTCAATTCACTTTTGCAATTGCAAAGATTGAAAAAAAAAAAGACGTTTTTTTTCATCTCAATAACAACTCAATTGTTGTTCTCCTCCGCTATTCTTGGAATGTTTCTTTGTGATGTTCATTTTTGATGATTCCCAGAGCAAAGGATATGTTAGCTTAAGAAACTAACTATAGTTTTTCAAGCTTTCATCATGTGTACATCAAATGATAGTGTTCGCTTCAATATGAATGTTAAAATTTAAAAATATGGTAGAGCATTCATGAATGCATATAACGTCGGGATGGCAAGGGGCTGCAATCTTGAGCGGCGTTGAAATCTAGTCTGTTATTTTGCCTTCTTGTAAGTGATTTAGTTGGCTATCTGGTTTGGCTTAGAACTTTGTGGGAATCTTTCTTGGACAATGGATTCTGGCTGCTTTTTCACATGAAGTTAGCTCAAAATTGATTATGCTGAGTATGTGTAAAGAAAATTCTCAATATAGATTTTGCACTCAATCCTTCTTTTTGCGTACTGTTCAGAACATGTCAATGGAGTTGGTTCAATTGTTTTTGTATGCACATTCTTGGTCAATAGAGCAGTTTATGATTTTCCTTCTCAGGAAGTGTGTCAGGAATATGGGTGGTGATGAAAATTGATTATCTGGCTTTTCAGTTGAATCATAAAACTTCAAGCAATTTTTCAACTTAATCTTTTGATGAGCTAATTTCTTTTCCATCAGATTCAAGGCTGTAAATGCAATTGGTATTTCTTTTACTTGGTACACATTTTCTTAATCATGCTCATAAAATATGTCTCACCGGCAGGCGTTGCTGGAGGTGCTGCATCTGGCAAGACAACAGTTTGTGATTTAATTATTGAGCAGCTTCGTGATCAGCGAGTTGTACTAGTTAACCAGGTGGGTTTCTTCGGACCGGAAAAAAGTCTTTTCTTTATTTTGATGAACAAGTTTAAGCTTACAGCTAAATCATACTTAGTATGAACAGATAGTATCATGATCTTCTCCATACAGCTTTTTTAGCTGCCTTCATTCTCTTATCTCTTCCTATTGAATCTATAACTATTTACAATGTGTTTATAGCTCCTCTTTCTTGTTTCTTCTTGATAAGATGATTGGTTAGCTAGGGTCTTCTATATCTCAATTTTCTCTAGGTGTTTTTTTCTGCATATTCCCCCCTCAATTTTTGATAATTTTAAACTAATAAACTAAACTTATATTTCATCTATCTTTAAAGATCAATAAGAACTTTTTGGTTGAATTACTACTTTTATTGGTCTTCATGTGAGATGTTCCCAACAGAAGTTGTGGGAAAAAATACGGCTTTAGAGGATTCAGAATGATATTTCTATTTAACAAGTCGTAAATGCTACATTTCTATATTTTTGTTTGCACAAATTCATTCTCTGATTTATCTAACCCGAGTTTGAATTTGCAGGATTCTTTTTATCATACTTTGACTCCTGAAGAACTAACAAAAGTTCATGAGTACAACTTTGACCATCCTGGTTAGTCTAGTCCATTTTATTTGAGTTAAATTCAGTCTCAATTGTTTATGGTTTAATTTCCCAGATAGAAAATGATACTTCGTATTACTTTTAGGAAAAAGCATCACTATAGTCTACATGTGTCATTTTTTTCTTCTCAAAATCATTCTTGCATTTGCCAATAAAAATATTTATGAATTGAAATTGGACTCTCTTGTACAGCTTCAAAGAAGTATGTTTATGTGTTCAAGACCTGTGGCTCGTAACTGTCCTCAATTTTATTGGAAATCCTTTTTAATTAACGATGATAATTTCTGGTGGTTGAGTTTTGATTTATAATGTTCATACATGTGTAAACTCTTTTAAATTGTTTAATATTTTTATGTCATTTGTTTGAATTATTAAATATCAGCTACATGTTATAAGATAATGTTTGCTGTAAGTTTCATGATTCTCTTTCTTATTGTTCAGATGCATTTGACACAGAAAAATTGTTGTGTGTGGTGGAGGAATTGAAGCAGGGGCAAGCAGTGGATATTCCAAAATATGATTATAAGAGTTACAAAAATGACGTATTCCCTCTTCGAAGGGTAAATCTTCATAGCATGATTTTATTTTGTTTCATTTTATTGCATACGTCATCCAACTTTCTAAAGAATACTTCAGTTTCTGTTTATCTTAGTCAACATTTAAACTCCCTCATCTTTTTGCACAATTTCTTTCTTCCAATTTAATACCTTATCTAAAAATATTTAAAAGGAAGAAAGAGGGATTGGATTCCAATGACACAGAAAACACATACGTCTCTAGACAGACAGCTGGATATATAGGTGGAGACACACGCAATTGCCTGCATTTCGAATTGTAGCTGTCTTTTTTTCAGAATTCTCCATTAGTGCCAATTCACCTTCTTTATTTTACTTGGTAGGTCAATCCTTCAGATGTTATAATCTTGGAAGGCATACTCATCTTTCACGATCCACGTGTCCGAGATCTGATGAATATGAAGATATTTGTTGATACAGGTTCTTTCATCTCCTTTCTTTTGATGTTCCTTTATTATTGTTGTGGCATGAGTTGTTCCTTCTCATTGACATGTGACCATGATGTACAAGAGAAAAGATCAGAATAGTGTTCTAGTAGTCATCTCATATAGTATTCTTTTACTTGAATATTTTTCCTTCTAAGGTTTCTCCTCTATCGTCGAAAAGATTCGATTTTCCCTCTAATAAATTAAAACCAAATATTAAAGAATAATATGGAGCTCGTCCTTTTTTTGGTCTTAAAAAGAAATATGATTTCTGAAAAAAGAACTTCCCAGAGATTAGAACACATTAGAACACTGCTATACTGCATGAATATCCATCCCATGTAAGAGTGGTGCAAGGGCTTCATCAAAACAGATAATCTTGAAAGACTGAACCAAAAATTCACTCCAACTCATATTAGTGAGTGCTTCCACTCAAGCTTCTGAAATATTTTTGTTTTTGTTGTATTTGTTTTAAAATATCTGTTCCTTAAAACTGTTGATTTCAGCTATCGTAAAAATAGATGATGTTCTGCTTTAGTCCTTGACACACGAGCATGTTGTATCCTTCCATGTCTACTGGACAGTGCTTTATGTTGGGTCTTCTACTTGTGTGGTTTCATCAGCTTAAATTTTCAGTGCAGATGCCGATGTACGTCTCGCGAGGAGAATAAGACGTGACACAGCTGAAAAGGGAAGAGATATTAGTGTGGTGCTTGATCAGGTTAGGAAAACTTTCAGGCTTATTTGAAAAGTGGGAATCTTTCACTCAAATTTGACAGATATTTGATAAAAGCATTTCTTGAGTTTCTTACTCTTCCAACATATTGCATTTTGTTTTGTCAAAAAAAAAAAAAATTTAAAATTTTGTCAAAAAACATATTGCATTTTGTTTTTGACGAAGATCAGTGACTTGATGACTACGAACCTGTTGGAAATTTGGTCTTATAAGCCAAAAGTCATAAGTTAGGATTTCTAACTTCTGACTTTTGGCTTATTTTTTGTTCTTTTAGCTTAAAAACAAGTGCTTAAAAGGCACTTCTTTTATTTTTACCCTAACTGCTTAAAGGCTATTATTTTAGCTTTAAAGCACCTTAATAAGCCAATCCAAACAGGCTCTAAGTTTCTTTTTTCCTGTTTCCTTTCTCAGTTCATGTCTGTGAAACTTCCATTACGAGTTTCTAAAATTGCCTTTTTGCTAATAAGCTCAATAAAAACCATTTTTTCTTTAACTGATGATTCAACTTCCATCTCAACTTAATTGCCTTCTCAAAACTGGCTGTTCAAACTTCATCAAGTTTCTAATTGCATTTTTGAAGTTGATTGTCATATGAAATTTAGCATGATTGTTATGCCTAAGTGTTTGGTTTTCACTAATAATGTGTTTTAATCTTTGATGCAGTACTCTAAGTTTGTGAAAGCTGCTTTTGATGACTTCATTCTTCCTACAAAGAAGTATGCTGACGTTATCATTCCCCGAGGTGGAGACAATCATGTTGCTATTGATTTGATTGTGCAACATATTCGGACAAAACTTGGTCAACATGATCTTTGTAAAATATATCCTAACTTATATGTCATTCAATCAACTTTCCAGGTACTATTTTTATCTTCGAAATTTAAGATATTACTTGTCCCTGTTTACCTGTTTTTCTGTTTTTCTTGAAATTGATTTGCTTTGTTCAAGATCCATTCCATGTGCTCCTAAAGATTGGTAATTTTTTCATTTAGATACGTGGCATGCATACACTTATACGGGATGGTCATACAACTAAACATGACTTTGTATTTTATGCTGATAGATTAATTCGATTGGTAAGTACATTGCTTTACTGGTTATCCTATTTTTCTCAACCAGTCAGTGAAAGTGAATCCTTTTTTAGCTTATCAACTAGATTCATCTTCACTTGAACCAGGTTGTTGAACATGGTTTAGGACATCTGCCATTTACGGAAAAGCAGGTGTTGACTCCAACTGGTAAGCTGCAACTGTAATTGGTTAAAATCATGCCCTTGTATTTAGAAATCTTATTCAGATCGTCTTCCATTACTACATTTTATATAGTAAGGTTATTGACATTAGGTCCAAAGATCAGGCTTAATGGTGATCTTCTTAGGACAGGTGAGAGTGTGGATACAATTATGATACTTGGCCATGGTTTCTGAAGTCACGACTGATACCAAGAAAAAATGGCTGAATTGTAACTGGAAAAAGCTTAGGCATTATAACGCATCAGTGCATTACGACTAATGTTACTTTATTGGTCAAAATATGACACTGGTTACTGTATTATTGGGATATCACAAGATAGTATTGCTTACAGTATTAACTTTAAACTTCCCTTAGGGTTATTGTTGAAGACACTACTTTCCCGCAAAGATATTTTCTTCTACAGTTTGAATTAGTAGAGTTGTTGAATTGTATATGTAAGGCATCATAAACATTACTGATCCTATAGCAGTTAGAAAAAATGAAGTACTTCATTTTGGTCAATTTCAATACTTGAATCATGATTTTAGCATTTTATTCTAAAGTTATATTGTCTGGGATTCTAGGTGTGGGTTTTATGCAACTTTTGTTTCTTCGTGGACTTTAATCTTTTTCTATATACCCAGGTGAGTGGGAACTGCTTCAACGAGCAGAAATAAATTCTTAATGAGATATATTTCTTGTGGGTGCAGGATCTGTTTACAGTGGTGTTGATTTTTGTAAGAGGTTATGTGGTGTTTCAGTAATTAGAAGGTGAGTTTGTCATTGGCATTTCCCTTGCTTTACTTGTATGGTAGTGATAATTGCTTTAGAGCATTTAAGGACTTTCTGATCTTTGTAATGGTGTCGTATGCGTGTATATATGTTGGTGCATGTAGTTTGGTAACCTTCATTACCATTTACTGATTGATTGTATGGTTGTCCATGTCCTTAAGGCCTATGTTGTTCACTTATTCTATTGGTATATTATGTCCCAAACTTGGCTCGTTTAGTAGATCGAATGCAATGGTCTGTGCATGTGTGAGGCTCTGATATATATGTTTAAAGCTTTCACATGGAGCATCATGTTAGTGATTAAAACTGAAGATAACAAATGACAGTCTCTTATCTCAGAAGCATATTCATCATGGAGAAACTTCATTTGCATTTTTCAGGATAAATACTTGTTACATGGCAGGACACTCGCTTAATAATCATCCGATGTTTTAAGTAGAGAATCCAATTAACAAGTGTTTGTTTGTGTCTTCTCCGCCTTCACCAAAGTGATCGAATTGCTGTATTTTGTTTGTTAACCATAAAAATTTCTAATTATGCACAGTGGAGAGAGAGCATCATGTTAGTGATTAAAACTGAAGATAACAAATGACAGTCTCTTATCTCAGAAGCATATTCATCATGGAGAAACTTCATTTGCATTTTTTAGGATAAATACTTGTTACATGGCAGGACACTCGCTTAATAATCATCCGATGTTCTAAGTAGAGAATCCAATTAACAAGTGTTTGTTTGTGTCTTCTCCGCCTTCACCAAAGTGATCGAATTGCTGTATTTTGTTTGTTAACCAATAAAAATTTCTAATTATGCACAGTGGAGAGAGCATGGAGAATGCCTTGCGAGCATGTTGTAAAGGTATCAAGATTGGCAAGATCCTGATCCATCGAGAGGGTGACAACGGTCAGCAGGTCAGCAATCTGCAGGGTCCTCCTGAGTCATTATATTGCCTTTTGCGCTCCTTATGTTAAATTTAAAGCATTTTGTTAAATGATGCAGCTGATCTATGAGAAACTACCACTAGATATTGCAGAGAGACATGTCCTGCTGTTGGATCCCATCCTCGGAACAGGTTAGTTTTTAAGAGTGCTCTGGATATCAGATAACTGACCACGCGCTTCATCCACACTAGGCGTGGATGAACTACATCATCAAGATTTTACGATAATTCTTATCAAAAGTTTACGTGAGCAAAGCTTGTTATATGTCTATACACAGGGAATTCAGCTGTTCAAGCTATTTCATTACTGCTGAAGAAGGGTGTCCCAGAGTCCAACATTTTATTCCTCAATCTCATTTCTGTAAGTTCACTGAATTATCCAGTACAGGCATTGCATTCCTTCCAACTTTCTGCAACTACTACTTGTGGTGTTCAATTTGCAACGGAGTTCTTGAATAATAACTGTTTTTCTTTAAAACTAGGCACCTCAAGGAGTACATGTGGTGTGCAAGCGGTTTCCAAGAATAAAGATTGTGACATCTGAGATAGAAATTGGTCTGAATGACGATTTTCGTGTTATTCCTGGGATGGGTGAATTTGGTGATCGATATTTTGGCACAGACGATGACTAAACGAAGAGTTGTGGCCCCTCCATACCCCGCAATCACATAATGGGAGATGTAACGTTCAATTCCAATTCAAATTTTTTTAACGATCTTTTAAAAGAAAAGAGTAAGATGAGCATGATGAAAACACTTGTGTAACGGATAAATGGACATTTTGAAGCATTTTTGAGTATACAAGCCTTATAAACGTGATTTCTTTTTTCACTCTACACTATCAAGTCCTTTAAACTATGCATATATGTTATTAGAAAATGAGAGTATACTACTTAAGGTTGTGGCAGAGTGGTAGTATTCCTCCACCTTTAATCAAAGGTCTCGTATCTCAGGTACGAGTCCAGAAATAGGAGCACTTTCCGTGGAACTTCTTTGCTCGAATCCAGAGTGTATACAAGTTCCATTATATTGACTGCTCCGATCATAGTTCCTTGTGTAACAAAACGAACTATGGAACAACTTGTTACATTTGAGATGTATATTTGGTTGAAGCCTTGTGTACGGAAATCGTATCGTTTTATTTCAATGTGGGACTTTTCTATATGAATTCAGAGTCTAAACTTCTTACATTTGAGAGAGCCATCCACAGATTAAGATGATTGTTTTTTGGGTTCTATATCATAAATGTGAGAAAAGAAACAAAATATTAGAGATGAGGCATCAACTCCTCACAATATTTTTTGCCTCACACAAATAGAAAGGAGACGTTTGGCAGTATTTTATGTAGTTCACTCATTTTTAGTTAGAGAGGACGATAATCTTTGTTGGGCTAATCTATTGACACGTGTCAAGAATTGGATCATCATATTAGGAATATCCCTTCCAAGTCATTTACTATATAGATTGGGTTTCTAGCTTTTTGGGTTCTCGTCCTTTTTCAGTTGGCTGCTTCCTTAGCTTTATCCAAAGCATTATCCTTTTAGCACAACCATGTCTGCCTTTGTGGGAAAATATGCTGGTAAACTTCTCTTCACGTTATTCAAGATTTAAACTTTATGGATTTCTATAATCAATATAATATTTACTGAGTTCACGATCAAATATTTATTCATATTTAGTGAATTTTTACTTTTGATATATAGAGTTTAGTTAAATATTATTGAATTTACGTGAATTCATATATTATTTGTGGTTTTTCTAAATCCTATATAAAAAAAGAGTTGGTCTTGGCAAATAAGTACGCACATATTTTGCTAGCCAGCATGCAAGGCAGTAACGGTTCTTTAAGGTACGTGAGAATGTGTATTTTACATAGTACGTGGTACATATGTTGTCATGCATATATAGCCAACTTATATATGTAAAGTATATATTTTGATTTCAATTTTTACACTGTCAATTGTAGCATATATACTAGGATGTAATAGCCTTATTTTTTTTTTAGGGTAACTAACAAATTTAATTGCGTTTACTTGTAATCATCTTTTAAGTAGACAGATAATATATATGTATATATACAATAACAACATACGTGGGGTAGATGGTAGGATGTACCCATACCTTATCCTATCGGCCTTACTTTTGCAAGAACAATATGACAGTAAAATAACAAGATATACAAAACAATGAGACAACAAGTAGTAATATGCATGCAGTGAAGAATAAGAGATTACTCTCGCACATAAAATACGACAACACTTGGCTACTACCTATATAGGTCATAAGCTAAAGTTATGTTATGTGCTAGTTTATTATATTCATATATACCTTCCTATCGGTAGAATTTGAACTCTAATTATCATGATATATATTAATGCAGAGGAACTTATCAAGAATGCCAAGTACATAGCAACACCAGGGAAAGGTATTTTGGCAGCAGATGAAAGTACTGGCACTATTGGAAAACGTTTATCAAGCATTAATGTTGAAAACATTGAAGCAAATCGTCAAGCACTTCGTGAACTCCTTTTCACTTCACCAAATGCTCTTCCTTACCTCTCTGGTGTTATTCTCTTTGAAGAAACACTTTACCAAAATACTTCTGATGGAAAGCCATTTGTGGAACTTCTTCAAGAGAACAATGTTGTTCCTGGGATTAAGGTGGACAAGGGCACAGTGGAATTGGCCGGGACCAATGGCGAGACGACAACTCAAGGGCTCGACTCGTTGGGTGCACGTTGTGCACAGTACTACAAAGCAGGTGTGTATGTTGATCTAATTTGTGTGATCATGTGCACTTATTTTGTTATGCTATGTTTCAACACGCTCTCTCACGTGCATGTGAAAGGGATCTTTACAGAAATAGCTACAATAATTTACTGTTTACTTTTCCTAGTCGATATGTTATGTTTCTGGAGGCTAGCTACTTAGACTATTAGGGTTCGTTTGATTGCAGACGATCTTATTTAAAATCCTATGCTGTTAGAGGGAACAGAAGTTTAATTATTTAACTACATTATGTCTGGACAAGGTGCTCGTTTTGCCAAGTGGAGAGCTGTGTTGAAAATTGGGGCTACTGAGCCTTCAGAATTGTCCATTCAGCAAAATGCTCAGGGGCTAGCTCGTTATGCGATAATTTGCCAAGAAAATGGACTAGTGCCAATTGTGGAGCCAGAAATTCTGACTGATGGAAATCATGATATCAAGAAATGTGCAGCTGCTACTGAAACTGTTCTTGCTGCTGTTTATAAGGCACTCAATGACCAGCATGTTCTTCTTGAAGGAACACTTTTGAAGCCCAACATGGTCACCCCTGGCTCTGATAGCCCAAAGGTAAGTAATTTAAGTTATACACACGGAGAGCGTAAAAGATTTTTATATTGTTAATGTATTTTTAACCTGTTGTAGCCTATGGTGCTCGGATTCTTCAGTACCATCAACCATGCACTACTTCTAGAGGATGGTGATTTGCACCCGACAACATTTTTGAAGAGTCTGAGCAACATAAGTTGTAGCAAGTTTGCATTAGTGCAAGTCTTTTTTGCAAAAGAAATGTAGATAGTTTAATCAAATTGGACTGATTAAAATATAACTCGTCTAATCCATTCAAGTTTGAACTAGTTGGAATGTGTATATTCATATGTAGGTTAATATGAGTATAGTTCAAATTATCACATCTAGAAGTCAGGACCAATTTGAGGGGCCTATATATGGAGTTGATTGGATTATCCATTAGAAAACTCATCAAAAAGTACGAAAAAAGGAGATAATTTTATATGAGTTTGGTTCATTGTCATGATAAATAAAAGAAAATGTTTTCGTAAGTTTGATTTAATAAAAAAAGAGCAGCCCGATGCACAAAGCATCCCATGTTCACACAGAATCCGAGGAAGGGCCGCACCTCAAGGAAGTGTAATGTGTACCTCATTGTTTAATTCAACTTAACATGCTCATCTTGATCTTAGAGAAAATTTTGGACGACTTGATATATTCCAACCCACACATCTGACACCCGTCCTCGTTCGTTATCTTAGGTTGCAGCAGAAGTAATAGCAGAGTACACGGTCACAGCCCTGCGCCGGACCGTGCCACCAGCAGTGCCAGGGATAGTGTTCTTATCAGGAGGACAGAGTGAGGAAGAGGCAACAGTGAACTTAAATGCAATGAACAAATTGGATGTGCTTAAGCCATGGACACTGTCATTTTCATTTGGTAGAGCTCTTCAGCAAAGTACTCTCAAGACTTGGGGTGGAAAAAAAGAAAATGTTGGCACAGCTCAAGAGGCATTTTTGACAAGGTGCAAGGCTAATTCAGATGCAACGCTTGGAAAGTATACTGGTGGAAGTGGAAGTGGTGCTGCTTCTGAGAGTCTGTTTGTTAAAGGTTACAAATATTAGGAGAAGGCAAAACTTGGAGTTGATGATAACAGGTTATATACTATTGGCTTTTGTGTTGCTTTTAATAACTTCTATATATGTTAAAAATTGAATCTTTTTAATTTCAGACATCTTTCCACAAGTAACTCTTGCAAATTGTTGTTCAACGTTTATATTCACTTAACCAAGAAAATAAAGAAAAAAACTATATATAAAAAAATGTTGGGTTTTAAAAGGTGTGAATGGAAAATAAAGAGTCGCGACTTTTATGAAGAGTTGCGCTTTGATGAAAAGTTGCGACATTTATGAAGAGTTGTGACTTTTATGAAAAGTTGCGACTTTTATAAAAAATTGTGAATTTTATGAAAATTTGTGACTTTTATGAAAGATTGTGACCTTTTCGAAAGATTGTGACTTTTTCAATGGTTTGTGACCTTTCCGGTAAGACACAGTAAGAACCTTTTCACACTACCCTTTGTTTTCTATAAATTGAGGGATTTCCTATCATTTTAAGAACCAATTTTCTGGACTTCTTCTACTACTACTAAATCTAGTATTTTAAGTGTACTTTACTGTCGTTGAGTGGTTCGCTGACACCGTGGTTTTAGGTACCGATACACCGGTGAGTAAGATCGTTCTATTCTAGGAGGATATATTCCATTAACCTTGGGTACCTGAGGGGAATAATTTCCTTAAGGGGACACTGTGCATTCAGTGGGCTCGATTTTCTTCTTTAAGAAAAATATTTTGTATATTGTTTCTAATTTGTTTCTGGTTCTATTTTCTCTATTGATTTTAATTTTCTAGTTTTGAAAATGCTCTTTAAACTTTGTTGTTACTTACTAAGTTCTTCAAAGTTTTGTTCCAAGTATCTTAGAAATACAACATGAACAACAATCTTAAGGAAATTATTATACTTGGTATTTCTTGTGTTCTACTGATTAAGGGAAACGAATCATGGAAGTAGAAGATTAATGCACTACTTCTCCAGAATTCGGTGTCTTGTTTAGCAAGGTCTAAGTGAGAATGTACCAGAAAGTTTGGTGGTATTCCAGTTAAATATTACACCAGGTAACCTTCTTATTATTTATCTAAGGAGGAAAATAGTTTCTAAAGGTTAACAATTTTGATATTTATCATGTGTGTCTTTGAAAAAAGTTCTGCAAATCATATGTTTTTTGAATGAATTTTCCTTGGCAAATAATGTTGCCTTTAAAATTCACTAGTTTGCAGAATGAGATATGCATATTTTTGTTTGATAAAATAGTATGTCAAAATGTTATAGTTGGAAGACTATTTGAAAAGAAAAACATTTCTATTTGATAATCTAAGAATATATTTTATTCTGTTTGGAGGAAAAAAAACTTTTGTAGTTTTGTACTCCTTGTGAATTTGATTGTTGTAGACTAAAATCTTTTATAGTTTTCTACTCTTAATAAATTGGACTATGCAATTGGTTT